TATTACCTAACATTCATTCCCTGAGCATCATCACAACATACTAAATGTAGGTCCACTTAGAATCTGAACCTCTGGTCAGCCATGTCACTCTCAGCACTGAAAATGGGTATGCTACTGCCTGGGCCACCACAGCTGGGTCCTGCTGTCATCTTGATCTCAGACTTCTAGGCTGCAAAACTGTGATGCAACACATTTCTGATGTTTAAGCCATCCAGATTGTGGTACTTTGTTACCCTAGCTGCCCTAACAAGTGCATACAATACCCTACAATGTACAGAATAGCTATCCCCCTATTAAAAATAATTTTCTGGTCCAATATGCCAACAATCTCCAAGTTGACACACCCTGCTCTAGATACAGAATCTAAACTTACTTGCTCACCTCCCAATCTCTGCCAGAGGCCAATAGAAACTAGCTGAGAGTACACATAGCTTTGATCATAGTCCTTCTAAAATGCTCAGACACCTCATACCCTAAACACACAAACCCATATAGCTCAGAGAAGACAAGCTCTGAAGAGACCTCAACTAGGTCAAAGAGATCATAGAGCTGGTACAAAGACCACCACAAGGATGAAAGACCTAGCATCTAAAAACATATTATACCCTCAGAGAAACCATAGCAAGGGCCACAAAATCTAAGAGAGCTCTTGATCTAAAGAGTTAAGATATTTCACACTCTAGAAAGAGTCACCAAACAGGTGAACAACTGCTCGTGAACAGCAGCATCCTTCATGTCCTGGCTTTGAACACTGCGTGATGGTTATATAAGCGGTCCACATCAGGGGAAGGTAGGCAAAGGGTATACGAGAACTCTCTGGGGCCAGCCCTGTAATACAGTGGTTAAGCACAGCACAGTGGGAGCTGGATACCACATAGCCGACGGCACTTTGGGTCTCTGCCCTAGTGAGTTGAAAAACACACAGGAAGGGCCAGCAGATAGTGTAATGGTTAAGGCACTGGATTCCCACATGGCCGACTGTGGTTCAAGTACCAGACCCGGCAATTGGCCACATGGGGCCAAGTGTGTGTGCATGCATGCCCACAATCCTGAGAAGAGAATGAAGGAGAAGGAACTGTGGTGTGGCCAATCCCCCTAGGGAATGACTTCTCACTTTCCCACTTTCTGTCTCTCACCAGTGAGTGCACATGCCCTATGGAAAAAAGAAAAAAAAAAGAAAGAAAGAAAAAAGAAGGAAAGAAAGAAAAGCATCCAGGATGCATGTGCATCCATGCCCCAATTCCTGATGGGAAGGAAGAATTGAGGAAAAGGGATTGTAGTATGACCACACCTCATTGTGAGGTGCTTTCTCTCTTTCTCTCTCTCTCTAGAGAACACACAAGCCCTCTGGCAATTAATAATAATAAATAACTCTTGGGGCCAGCAGTTGGCATGATGGTTAAGGTGCTAGATTCCCACATGGCTGGCTGCAGTTCACATTCTGGATCTGGAAGCTTGAAAATCACACCAGGTGCATATGTGTGCATGCCCAAAATCCCAAGAGGAGAATGGAAGAGAAAAGGTTGCAATGTTGGGACCAGCAGTTAGCATAATGGCTATGTCGCTGGACTCCCATGTAGTCGACCGTGGTTCAAGTCCCAGACCCTGTGGCTTAATCTCACGCCAGGCGCGTGTGCGTGCGTGCCCAAGATCCTGAGAGGAGAATGGAGGAGAAGGGAATGTGGCATGGCCATCCCCCTTGGGGGGTGATTTCTCACTTTCTGTCTCTCTGTCTCTCTCTGTCTCTCTGCCAAGCGCACACGCCCTATAACCAAAACTTCTCCAAAAAAAAAGAAAAGTTTGCGATGTGGTCATCCCACCTGGTGGGTGATTTGTCACTTTCCCTGTCTCTCTCTGTTTCTCTCTGGCAAGCCCATGTACCCAGTGACAAAAACTTTAAAAATAAATAAATAACTCTGTACTGTTTTTGTAATTTATTGTAAGTCTATAAAAGGAAACATTATTAGAAGACATAAAAGGGAATTTATTACAAAACTTAAATATATCTTGCCAACCAGTTAAACCCTTCTAGCAATCAGTGAAATGCCAATAAAACAAAAATGAAATTCAATTTTTTAAAAAAGGCCAGCTTTGGATCAGCAGTTGGCATAATGGCTATGTTGCTGGACTCCCATGTAGTCGACCGCAGTTCGAGACCTAGATAC